CCCCTAATTAAAGTTCTAGTAAGTTAAACATGCAGGTTTGCATCAGTCTGTCTGTCTTCAACTTTTGCTGACTTATACAAAATTGTTTATGAAACAGGCTGTTGGACTCTTGTTACTTTGGGCAATACATCAGTGGCTGGATTCCTATAATAGAGGGGCCTTCCCTCCCCCCCAGTTGAAATTAATTTTTGTGAATTTTCCCCCACAAAATAGTATAGAATTTGGGGTGGAGGGAGGCAGGCATGAAGAGAGGAAGGAATAGTGCTGAGGAGAAAAATCTCGGATATTTCAGCTTCTCTTATAGCCAGTTTATGGCTCAACCTTGGGATAACAGAGGCAAGTGTGGTGCTGAAAAAATCCTACAGATTTGTATATTGTAAGGTTGTGAATTAACTAAGAATGCCACTGAGCAGAGGGAAATGAAAATGAGAATTTTTACAATTAGTGATCCTCTGAAAGACAGAACCCCAAGTATTCTATAATTCTCTTACTATGGAATTTGCTGCAGAACCTATCCTTTGTCACAGCGTTTGGCTCCTGTATCTAAATTTCTGTTAATCCATAATTTTTTCTATCCTACAAGGTTGTAAAGAAAATCTTTAAAATGTGACCCCATTGTAAACTGATGCAATGCTGTCTAGTGACTCTGCATAGTATAGAACAATAGCTTAGAAACGTTAACTGCTTCATTTATTTCACTAAATGAACTAAAACCTAAAGATAACAATTTATGTGTCAGTACTCAAGGCCCTGATTCAGGAAAGCACTTAAGCATATGCTGTCTCCAGGAAGGAAGACTGCTGGGGAGAGATGGGGTCCACCTGACCAAGAAGGGGAAGACAACTTTGCACACGAACGTACCAGTTTAGCGAAGAGGGCTTTAATCTAGGTTTCAAGGGGGGCAAGTGACAAAAGTCCACAGGTAGGTATAAAAAAAGGTGACTTTAACAGAAGGCTAAATATTGAATGGGAGGGAGGGAGGAGGAAAGTTATAATAGGATCAACAAGAGGAAAAACCCTGGAGGAATCTGCTCAACATCTCAGATGACCGTACACAAATGCAAGGAGAATGGGGAATAAAGGGGAAAAACTGGACATATTAGTAAATAAGCTAAATTATGACTTATTTGGCATCACTGAGACTTTGTGGAATAAATCTCATGACTGGAATATTGGTACAGAGGGGTATTGCTTGTTCAGGAAAGACAGGCAAGGAAAAAGGGAAGGATATGTTGCATTAGACATCAAGAATATGCATGATGAAGGTGCAACAAAGGCAACTGTCAATCTGAGGTGCATTAACAGGAGTAGTGTTGTATGCAAGAGAAGGGAAGTAATGGTTCTGCTCTACTCAGCACCAGTGAGGTGTCATCTGGAGTATTGTGAACAGTTCTGGGTGCCACACTTTAGGAAAGATGTAGGCAAACTGGAAAGAGTCCAGAGGACAGCAACAAAAATGATAAAAGATTTAGAAAAAGTAAGCTATGAGGAAAGGCTTAAAAAACTGGGTGTGTTTAGTCTTGAGAAAAGGAGACAGAGAGGCCCTAATAATCTTCAGGTATAGTAAGGGCTGTTATAAAGAGAAGGGAAATCAATTTTTCTTCATGTGCACTGAAGGTAGAACAAGTAGTAAAGGGAGATTTACGTTGGATATGAGGAAAAAACTTTCTACCTATAAGGGTAGTTAAGCACTGGAATAGATTTCTAAAGGAGGTTGTGGAATCCCTGTCTACCCTGTTCTTAAAAAACTCCAATGACAAACACCTGTCAGGGATAGTGCAGATTTACTTGGTTCTGCCTCATCTATTCCTGCCCCCAGTGCTGACCTAAAGAGGTCCCTTCCAGCCCTACATTTCTGTGATTAAATCCCATTGACTTCAATAGGAGTTAAGCCTAACTTCTGATTTTAGCATAAGTATCATGCTAATGTATTTATCTGAGTCTTACATCAACTACCTTCCATGCTTTTGTGCCAGGACCTGAATTCCTAGTCACTCTCCATCTAGGAAAAAAATAGATCATTGCCCTGTAGCAAAGTGTTTAATTGCTCAGAATCCTTGAGTCTCTTCTCAGGAGAAAAACTGAAAGTCTCTACTACTTGCCCTTTTTGATTAACTGAGAATGGCCAGCCTGATACCATCCCCATATAGTTTATGCACTCACTAATGATAGTAAAAATTAATGGCAGTCTTCAGAGTGCAGTGTACTGCAGCATGTTGTGGCGGTGATTTTTTTTTTAATACACAGAAATTGTCAAAATGTGTAAAAGAAAAATACAAGCCTTCCTGTCTGGAACACACTGAGCTGGACAAAGATTCTCTAAAAATACTGAATCTATTTATCAGCCCATTAGACAAGGTTTTGGTAAAATTCTAGGTTTATATTCCAGGTATGGCCAAACTGCAGCTCTTTTACAGTTAAAGTGTGGCTCACGGAATCCCCCTTGCCGCCCCCCCCCCCCACATTCTCTGCTTACCAGACTGGGGGGGAGCTTGGGGCTTCTGCCCTGTGGCAGGGTGGTGGGGGTAGGGGCTTTTGCCCTATGAGAAGGAGGGTCTCTGGGCTTTAGCCCTACACATGGTGTGTGTGTGTGTGTGATGGGGCTCAGGGCTTTAGCCCTGCGTGGGGGGAGCGCACCGGGGTTCAGGGCTTCTGCACCCTGGCACCTCAGTCTGGAAGGCGGAGAATGGGAGGGGGGCGCACATGGGGGGCTCCAGGAAGTACTTCAAGAGAATTTAAGCCCTGGTGAACCAAATGGTGTGAGAGTGAAACTGATAGAAAGAGAAGCTCGCACATGCACATTATTTCAGGAACTTGCATCATTCTGTATTCAGACGTTGTGCTGTGCGGACCTTGTGTGCTCATGATCTCCCTGCATTCCACAGAATACAGGCTGTGTTTACTGTTCATAAGTCACATTTGAATAATTTTAGCTTTAAGTGTTAATCCTACGTTAATTTCGTGGATGACAATGACATCTTCAAATTGTAAGAAAGGCAAGTATGAAGGAGAAAACCACAGTACTAAGCCAGAATGGGAGGAAGATTTTGCATTCAGTGTTAAAGATGGCAAACTCCTGTGCCTTATCTGCAATGCATCATTCACTCACAACAAAGTGAGCAACTTGAAACGTCACTATGAAATGAAACACAATAACTTTTCATCTAAATACCCTCCTGAAACAGAATTAAGGAAAAACAAGCTAACCACATTAAAATTACGCCTAAACAGTCAACAGACATTACTTTCAGCATTCAGTAAGGAAGCTGACACAATGACTGAAGCTAGTTTTGTTATGTCATGGAATATCGCTCATGCTAAACGTCCATATTGTGAGGAAGACTTTGTTAAGAAGAATATTGCAGAAGTGGTTGCACTTTTAGATCCAAGTAACACAAAACTTCAATGACAAATAAAGCAAATTCCAATTTCACACCACTTTGTGGAAAGGCGCATCTCCCCAGATCAGTGCTGATGTTGCAAGCAAGATGCAAAACAATCTAAAGAATTCTCATCATACAGCCTAGCTGTCAACAAATCCACAGATATACAAGATAAACCACGACTAGCAATATTTGTTCGCTGTGTTTCTACGGATGTAATTGTGAAAGAAGAAATGTTGGTCTTAGTGGTGCTAAAAGAAACAACCTATCGTGTTGACGTAAAGAGCGCACTTGACAAAGCATTGACAAATGCTGACGTACTGCTGGATAAACTTGTCAGTGTTGCAACAGATGGAGCATCTGCAACGGTGGGGGAAAAAAGTAGTCCTTATCAGACTCTTGAAAAACGATCCCAAATATCCGGAGTTTCTCCCTGTTCATTGTATCATCCATCATGAACATCTCGCAGGCAGATACTCCAAGTATGAAAATGTTACAAAAACGGTCCTAGAAATTGTCAATTTTATCCATTCAAATAGGAAGACTCGTCTACAGTTCAAAAATGTAATCAAAGAGCTGGATCTTGAAGACAAACCTAACAACGGATGGCGACCCACAAGACCTCTAGCTTTAGCAGTAGCTAGCCGTGATACAGTAAGTAGGATGTTAATTTTTTTTTAAATGCATGCATAAAGGTTGTGTGTGTCTTGTGGCTCTCAAACTTCTGAAGATTATGTTTGTGGCTCAGGTGGTCAGTAAGTTTGGCCACCCCTGTTATATTCCCTCCACAACATTACTGTTTTTTGTTTGGCCTTTTTAAACTATCAGGAAGAATGTAATCAGATTTTTTCTATGGTATGTTTGCTTAACTGAGGGGTTTTATTCTGACAGACATTACCTGTAATTTGTTATGGTTACATTTATGCTTATTTATAATTTATCAGCCTTTTCCACATGTGATTTGTTCTTTCAACAGAGCACATGCGAGAAAAAAAAATACCAGTCTTTTCATAGAACCAAGACTGTGAATAATCACCTCATGCATGTAATGACATCTCATTAATACCAATATTTATGCATGGATGTTTCTAATATGGCATTTCCTTATACAACATGAGGCGGATTTTAGAGAAGCAGTTCAAGTCTTCTGTATCTAGATATTAGGGCTGAAACAACGACGACGACACTGTCTAATAAAGTAAAGCTGTGTAGTTAACCAGGACAAAAGCCCAGCTGTGTACAGCTCTTATAAAAAATAAAGGATTTTTGGATTAGTAAATCAGGATGTATCAGACAGAGCAGCAAGTAAAGATTAAATTTAAAGAAGAACTTGAATCAAATTTGGTCAGTTAGATAGGAAATGTAGATACATCTGAACACTACATTAAAATCTTAATATACAAAGCTACTGGCACAGTAGGTTCCTTCCCCTACCCCAAATCAGTGGTGTTCTTTACAAATATAGCAAATTGATATGAAATGGCCACTTTGGTGTATTTTAATTAAAGACTAATTCCAAACAGCAAGCACAGCATTAGTATAGAGACCAAACATGCATGGTGGGTTAAGAAACTAAAGACTGGCCTCCTGCATACGTGTATGTAAGAAAAATACAACTGATTTCAATTGTTTTTATTAGGTTTTAGCAGTTTACAAATTTGAGATTTGTTTAAGAAATAAAGCTATAGAACAGAATCCATTGGAAACTCATTTTGGGTTTTTTTTAGATCCACAAAATTTGCAATATACTTTGTCAATGGCAAATTGCAGGCTGTCTAAAACACAGCCCCACTATATTTTCTTATTCACATATTTCGTAATTTATCAAAAAACTAAGATTGTTCTAAAAATACTTAACAAAACTAAATAGTCAATTAAACTACTCTATTTGTCCCTATAATTATGTATACTTGAATTTTGTTCATTTTGTACACGATACTGATTGTTTAAAAGCACTTAAGGAGACTATATTGCAATTTTTTAATAATTCTCAAAGTTATGAATAAATAGATAGATCCCATAACAAAATTAAGTTTACCACCTTACATACTCTGAGTATTTATATATCTCATACCTCACCCTAAACAAAATATTTTCTAGAGGAAATAATGCTCTAAAGGTAATATTCGCTTGTCATTTTAATGCTGAACAACATGAATTTCAAGAGCTTCTATTTCCTGACAAGCAAAGGTCCTAATCAAGTCCTATATTTTGCTATAATACACTAAATACCATCTCAATGAATGATTTTTTTAAATTAAGATTTCGTTTCTACAGGCCACAAAAAAATGTCAGCAGCCAAACTCTGTATACATGTGGCACCTGAGGTTTATGACTACAGATGCAGAGATTCAGATCAGTAATCTCATCTTTCCATGTAAAGCGTCTATCTAGCCACCTTTTTCTTCCCTGCCCCACAGCCAACTTGGGGGGTGGGAGGGAGAAAAAAAAAAAAAAGATGTACTGTATGTTACACTAAGGACAGTGGAAGATACAACACTATAAAGGAACAAAAGCATAAGTGATGAAACAAGTTACTACAAGGTTTTTGCTACATAAAAATAAAGTGACAGTCAAAAAATTCCAAGAACCAGAAAGTAACATGGTAAACAAAAATGGCAAAACAACTTGCAAAATATTCTAGAGCCTTAAGGCAGCCTTCATTTCAATCAGCAATGCGATCACTGGCATATCTGGAGAGAAATTCTTCTTTAGTGTACTTAATTATGATGATATGCAACTGGTTAAGAACTATATCGATCCTAGAAAAAAGGGAAAAGAACAAAATACTCATGGGCATGTCTTCCACAGCAAGATAAATTAAATACGGTAATATTCATTAAAAGTAAGTGAAGTTTAATTTTTAAAGCCACCACATTTAGAAAATTGGCCAAGATTTTCAAAAATAAGAGCTTAATATTGGGCTCTTGAATTTCAAAAATGTCAAACACCCAACTGCTCTCACTGATTTAATCTGAGCTCAATGGAAATTGACAAGCATTTGGTACTTTTGAAAGCCAGACCTCTTACTTAGGTGCCTAATTATGAATTTAGGATTTTAAATTTCAGCGTCTATTTTTTAAAAATATTGGTCCTTCCATGCAGGGACTCTGTAGTACATTTTTCTATCACATCAGTTACAGAGACAAAAGCCTAACAGTTAAATTACTACTAGTCACTCTAAAATAGGATATGAGCAACAAATTTGCTTGATAGAATGCACATTCAATTACTATAAGAAAAGGAACACTTTAGTCATTTTTAAGAGTCTCAAATGTACACATGGAAACTTCTCTAAGAAAAATGAATTATTAATTGGAAAGTCATAAAAAGCCTTAAATATTTTACCATCTGTTATGAAAGTTCTCGGACATTTCAGCTATGTTACATAAAAATGATAATTAACTCCTTTGGGGAGAAAAGTTTAACAGAAATCATGTGACTAAATCCTCATGACAAAACTTCAATATCTATCTTGTTTTTTTAATATTTCTTACTTTCCTAATTTACTAACCTGTATAGAAGTCATGACTCCATTAGCAAGAACAGAAAGTTTTCCAGCCACTGATTTCACTCCTTGTTTAAACTGAGCCATATCAGGAGCTGAAGGCAAGACATTTGCAATACTGTAATTTCCTATATAGGGGATAAAAAAACATTGTAGTGATACTGTATTAAAAATAGCGTGTTTTTAGAGCTATTATCTACTACACTGAACACCAATCCCATGAATGTCTGAATGTCCATACCAACTAAAGTTCTAAAAATTAAAAGAAATCTTTAGATCTAAAACAATTAATCAAATTACTCAGACTCATCTTGCTTTATATTTTCAAATTTCCATTTGAGAATTGGTACATATTCCTACCAAACATGCTACAGTCAAACCCAGCAATAAGGCGCCCCGCCATAACGCGAAATCGCATATAACGCGATCACAATTTGGCCCCCCTTTAAGACACACAGTAATACAGTACTGTATGTACTGTACCAGTGGTCCCCAACGCCATGATGCCTGCCGGGACATTGATGTGCCCCCGCCTAGTGCCAGGCAGGGGAGAGAAGCTGCGGCCCCGCACCTGCCG